AGTAATTATTAACGGATTAACTTCAAACTTCACAACAAGGTTAATTACCATGAAACCTCGGACAAGTTCGATAACCGCCATTATCCGACCGTAATTATTGGAGTTATTCCCCTTGGTTTCATTAATGCGATGCATGCGTTCCATGATGTTGTATTGCACTCATTGATCTACCAGTTATGTTGAATGATTTCTCTTTTAATATCAATTACTCACAAATACTTCATATATTTCAATCATACAAACAACTGCTCATTCAATGTGTGACGTGCGTATTATATACCGCTCGCGGTAACCTTGTATCTTTTTCTTTGCTGGTTAAAAACGTTTCTACCACATTTTGACCACAGTAATTTCAACTTGAGCACCCTGTACCCATCCCTAACAAAAAATCCTAAATGTGCTCCTGCATTAATTATCTCATCATTAAAAATATTCTGAAGAATGATAAATTTAATCATATCTGTTTCTAACACAAAAATCAAAATGTCTGATAATGAGTTGCATATTTGTAATAAATGAATTGATAGATACTCATTTGAAATGTGTTTATGAATACTCTCAACCATAATATTTTTTTCACTTTTGTGATAAATTCACCTTTGTATACCATGTACTAACTTAACCTGATCTTCCTCATGTTAAAGATAAGATTTGAACACCACCAGGACGAGTATTACATTATGAATTGTGAGACTGGTTCAATTACCAGATATGTATAAATGAGGAGCTAGCTAATGTTTGATTTATCAAGGATTTCAGTTTATGGAGGGATCAGTCTAAACAGATTGACCTGTCTTTTTATGTATACCTGTTTAAACAATGTACAACGAATATGTCTACAGAATGATATGCATCTTTCTTGAAACATAATTTATTATTCTGAAAAAAACACCTTGATTTTCAGTGCAGGAAATTTTAAGATAGGAGAATGAAATTATTTATTTGTGCTCACCTGGTAAAACCCTGTTATATTTGTTGCTGCTGCAGGGAGAAAGCATTGACGGTTTTGATGGAAGCTACCAAGTACAGTTATGAGAACTGGAAGCTATGGGAGAACGTCCTCATAGTAAGTACACTACCTCAAGTTATAGATATAGTAAGGGTGTCTTCTGTGTAATGGTACTCACAATTATAGATGTAAACCCACATACACAACTGTATTGTAAAAGTTTTGTTCCTTGGTAACACTAGTCATAGTTTTTTCTTCGCATTTTACTTTTGCTGTTAATTTTACAGGTTGCAACAGATTGTGGTGATGTGGCGAATGCCATACTGGCTTATAACAGACTCCTTGATATAAAAGTCAAGTGGGATGACGGTGAGGTAGGTTATGTTCATTCACTGTGATAACGATTCATTTGTTGTCATGTATCCTATACATTGTCACCTAGGAATAACCCTACAGCACTGTATTTTGAAATTTGTGACGGTATAATTATGAGTATACTGTTGCAAATGGAGTTTTACTGCCGACGCCGAACAGAGCCATTTAAACGGATTAAATGCGACAGTATAATCACAATATACCGACACAAATTCATATAAGCCAAAACCACCAAAAGAAAAATGGTGATTTGAAGATATTTTTGAGTGTTTTCTTTTGGATCACTCTGTCGTTGATTGGTGACTTAAGGTATATTTAAAGTGAGACTGAATAACATTGATCTTTCGGAGTCAAGTTATTGTTCGTGACCTCATGAATAATCAATTTCATGATATGTCAGGCTCAGTGGGGGTCATTGACGTCATTAACAATCGCCATCCGGGCTTCATAAAAACAATAGAAATTTGTGGATGGTATATAGTGGTTATACTGTCTCAACTTCTTTTGAATGACCAATCGAATGTCGTGTTACATCTGAAATGATTTAGAATTATATTTATGTGTCATAACATATTAGACTTAAAAATCATTTGGCCAGCAAATGTCCAAGTAGAATCGCAAATATAAATCGTAATGATTATGTTATCCCAATTTTCACAATCCTGGGTGCCCCTGGAGTTATAACCTGTTAATGACTGTTACAGGTACTGAGTACTCTGGTTCAGGCGGTGACTGAAAACTACACAGATGCTGATGGACTTCCAGGCTCCAAACACATACCAGAGTTACTGACATTATTTGGTAGAACTACTTCCAAGGTAAAGGGCCCTCAGTCTACTAAAGATGATGACAAACAATACAGAACTTTATAAACAGAAAGCTTTATGTATTTGTAACAAATATGAAAAGTTCTTTTCAAATATTAGTATTAAGTCAAGTTAGACATGTGATATAGTTGAGAATGTTCTTACTAATTTTTAGGTCACCTGAGTCAACTCCTAATGGGCCGATTAAACTGAAACTTTGTAGGAATGATCGACTCATGGTCCTGACAAAGCGTTGTTATTTTTCGGGTTGATCAGAAATCCAATTTGGCTGCCACGACCGCTATTTTGAAAATAACTATTTCAAACTTAAAACAATTTCTAATAGGCCGATTTAACTGAAACTCTGTCTGGGAATGATCAGCTCATGGTCCTGACAAACTTAAGTTAACGTTATACTTCACTATTTTTTACTCAAATTGATACATATTTCAACAACAAAAATAAATACTGTAAGACTCAGGTGACCGTTAAGGCCCATGGGCCTCTTGTTCAATTAATTTTGTCTGTGTAACTAGGCATTCTTAACCTAACATTCAGTTATATCTTTATTGCATCTTTTTGATATTAATGCAGTCATTACAGTGTACTACCCAGTAAGATCATCCAGATTTATGAGAATTATCTACAAAAAATTATCACTTATGGAATGCAAACCAATATCTAACACCATTTCATATTATACCGTTAGTCAATATAATAAAAACAATAAAAACCATCGAAATGTGGATAGATGTTAAAACATGCTTTTTATGACTGTTTTAGGTCTCTAACAATGCTGAGATATGGAAAGCTTATGCCAAGCTGACAGCTTATAGTATGGGAGGGAAAGAAGAAAAACATGAAGTGGTAATAAAGACAAATACACCTGATATATAATGTAGTTATGTTTTCATGTTCAATACCCTGTAATATGCTTTTCTGAAGTTTGCAAAGAGTACAAACAGTTTTAAATACTAAGTTCATGCAAACAAAGTATATGTGATCTGAAAATTGCATTTCAAATATACCTTGGCATGGTAAATTCAAACAAATTCCTGAACTTTTTGGTTATTATATGCTTTAGAAACTTTAATGGTATCTTTGTTTTTAAAAAAAGAATGTCTGTCTTGTCTATGGATAGACAGTATGAATAACTTAATTGAAAGTGTTATACATATTTAATATTATACATGTATATATTGATTAAATAGAGTTTTTGTTGAAATAATCATAACAGGTATAATAATTTAAAATATCAATATATATAGATATAGATATACCTCTACTATATACAGGTGTTACAGTACCTACAGAAGGCCTACAGGTGTGTCACTCAGGACCCAAAGTGGGAACAAACTACAGACAGGTGTAAAGAAATTGCTGACCAGGCACTGGAGCTAGCTGAAAGTACGTTCAAGTAACACATTCTCATGTTCTAGTTTTAATTCTTTTTTTGTGTGAGAATATGGTTTCAAATGCTTGAACTTTCTCAATGTAAAATTTCAGTGAGTAATAAAAAATTAGTTTCAATTGATTTAAGAATATGGGTTTGAGCATAGATTGAACACAGTCCCAAGTTGTAATGTCTGAACACCTCTACAAAACTCATCTTAAACAGTTATGAACACATCATTACATAGCCTTGTTATCTAACAATATCATGAACATACTATCAAAAAGGCTTGTTAGCTTACATATTCAATAAAACACCTTTACAATGCTTAGTTTTCTTGCACAGCATTCACAAAGCTTGGTTAATTAACAGTATTTAGCACACTGTTACAAAGCCTCAAAGGTTGGTTTCCTTAGAGTTATAAATACACTCTTACAATGCATGCTTAGATTACATAAACATTTACCCACTTTTGCAATGATTGGTTATCTTACAAAGTCCTTAAAACATCTTCAAAAAAGTTTCGTTATCTTACAGTCATCATTAACACACATATATAAAGCTAGGTTATATTACAGTCTTTAATACACCCACATAATGTAGCGTTAGCTTACAGATTAATTTTCACATCTTTATAGAGCTTGATTAGCATACAGGTTTATTGACATTCTTTTAAAAAGCTTAGTTAGATTACAGGGTCCACTGACACACCTTTTACAAAGCATGGCTAGCTTACACTCATTTGCTTGCCTTTACAAAGCTTGTTAAGCTTACAACACTATATTTCATCTCTGGTCACTGGCTTCTGCAAGTGTTTTTCATACCCCCTGCAAAGAAGTTAGGGGGGTATACTGGAATCAGGTTGTCCGTCTGTCCATCTGTGGACGCAATGTAGTACTGTGTACCCCTCCTTAACTACTTGATGGATTTCAATGAGAATTGCTGATAAAAATCCTTACAGCTTGTTCATTCTGGCCTTTTTACAAGGAGTTATAGCCCTTTGTTGAAAAAAAACCTTTGTCTGCCTCCTATAAACTACTGGTCCGATTTCAGTGAAAGTTTACAGATGTGGTAACTACCCCCCTGATTCCTAAGGAGTTATGGCCCTTTCTTAAAAATCTCTGTCCTGACAATTCATCCTTAACTACTAGGACGATTTCAGCAAAGCTGGTTCATCTGGGGTAACAAGATTTGGTTTGCAAGTATGTATTGGCATTAGGAGGGAGTACACAAATTATGTCAGTGACCTATATGCTTAAATAAGTGTACAGCTCCGTGAATAAAGAAAGCATTACTGGTGGGAGACTATGGATTGCTTTGCAATNTACTAGTTAGCCTTTACCTTACATTTCTGGTTTATATAGGAGTAGGGTGGGGGGTGGGGGGTATTAGTTAGCCTTTTGCTTACAGTTCTAGTTGCTTTTTGGTCACTTACAAAAAGTGTTGTAGGAAAAAGGGCTTCCTATAAGTTGTTCAATTTGTGCCAAATGCCATTGCTAATTAAAAAAGGTCAATATGTTTAAAAAAAAATAAAAAAATACAACAAGGGTTTTTGTGTACAAAGTCACTTTAACTGTACATTGAAAATTTAATTGTTCAGATAAAATTCCATTTCATGATTTTAATGGCCACTTTACTACATTTTTGGAACATTTGAACATTTATTGTTCTGTTCTATTCTGTACAAAATGTCCAGGTAAGACTTTTTACAACTGGATGGTTACTTACTGCTCACACATTGGCACTGTATGTTAATTTAGGGTATGAGGAATGTTGCAGTAAAGCAGAGAGCTCCACCAAGGCTATCCAGATGTTGTCCTCCGCGAAGTTAATGGTCAAAGGTGTCCTGACAAAAATCAAGGTGATACAAGTAATAAAGCAATAGTATTAATACAGACTGCTTTTGTTGGTGTCAAATCTTGGTAAAAGATCTCGTACAGGTTACCAGCACACCCCATATCTCTATTTGTTAATTGAATTACAGAGATAAAACCAGTAAAACTTGTACTATTTAACACTTCAAAAATCATAGAACAAATACCTGCTGATGCAAGAGGATACTGTAAGCATATGTGAACTGGTAGGTTTAACATGTGGATGTAATTAATTAGGTTAGTTTACCTTGATCATATAATGTACTTGATTATTAAAGGGGCTATTTAGTCAAATACATGTAATAGCCTTAAAATTGAATAGATACTGAAAAGATATACCTCCTAACAAAACTTCATGTAGTTGATCTTTACATGACCTGATGGAGGAGGACCAAACTTTATTATCATGAAGAATTTTGTGATTCAATTTAAAAAAAAAAAATCTTCACTAAATTGTCAGTTTAAAATATTATTTCGCGTTTTTGTCTCCTCAGAAACAACATACAGACGAGGTGACGGAGGTACTGGATACTGCAGTAGTTGAACACTGCTCAAAGTTGGAAGTAAAACTGCAAGAAATAATTTCAAAAGTGACGGAGTTAAAAGGAAGCTGATCTGGATAATTGAGAACTCTTTTGAACATCAGCTATATAAATAAATATCTCAAATATATATTAAGTATCATATTGTTTGTGTATGAAGTCAAAGTATGTACTTTAAAAAGACTACTTCTTGTTAATGTTCTTAATGCATAAATACATCAAGAAACAGGAATAAATATGCAAGACCACACACCGCGCACGAGTGAATATATATGTCCGCGCAATAAATGAGTGCTTTCTGATTCGTTAGAAAAACACAAGAGGGTGGTCTTGCTTTTATCACATACCTTATGATTTGGTAGAGATCGATACAAATATTTTATAAACTTTGATATTTTTTGCAAATACCGCGAACTTTTCAGTTCGCCATGACAAGGGGATTCCCATAAAAAGTAATTCCGGCTAGTAGGTAAATACAACATTCTGTATTGCACATGTGCGATACAGAACGTTGTATTTCATGGTCTGAAAATTGCTTGTATTACTATAACAAGAATCAACAGGTATTTGATAAAACACAAATCTACATAGTAAACTACTGGGTGATCAAGAAATTAGTATAGATTTTTTCTTTTATCTCTGATGATTTTAAATGAAGGATCAAGCTCTGTTGATTTTATAACGTATTTATTTTAATTTTTTTTAAATTTCATAAATAATGAGAATGTGATGTTGCCTTAAAACAGAGATAAGGTCTTAATATAGATGAAAAAAATCCAACACTTGGAGACGGTCAGATAAAGCGGAAGTCAACTATCGCTACATTTGTCTATTTCCATCAGACTTGTCAGACCTCCTGAATCATGTACTTGTCAATACTCCTCAGGGGGTTGATACATGCACTCCGGTCATACAACGCTACTAAAGAGAAATATTTACAGGATGCAAATTTGTGTTTATGGCAATGTGTCCATCACCATCTTATACTCACAGCACAGGGAACACAAGCTTAAGGTGTTATATTCGGCAGTAGTTATTTCTCCTCAAGAAAATATACACGAAAAAGAATTATTCAAATAATATTTTACTCCCGCTGATTAATATGACCCATGACTCAAGAACTCATCTGATATGCAAATAAAACATAATACACAGATAAATGAGAAAGTTCTACTGAATAAAGAGTATTGCAGAAGTTAATCATGAATACTTAATGAACAGTAATTTCTGAGGTGCTTAAGGACCATGTCTAGGTTGTCCTCGAACTGCACGATAATCTCCCTGCTATATTGGGATTTGCAGGAAAACGTACTTGCAAATTTTGTATAAAATATAGAGGGCAGATGTCGGAGTCATCACGCATCGGGACTAGATAAGCTGATGAAAGACATTATCATTTGGGATCTGCTCGCAAACTGAATACATGTAACTGCGATGTAAATTTTCCACAATGTTACAAAAGATAATAGCCACGAAAAAATATATTCATCTCCACACTGTCTGCAATGATTAAAGACACGTTTATCGCGTGTAAGTTGGTGTTCTACAAATTTTCTAGATTTCAAAGGATACATAACGAGGGCATAATGTGGTGCAAGAAATGCCTTCCCTTCAAAAATGTCTGGTGTTGCCACAGGGTATATTGTGGTTACCGTCTTTGATGCTGTTATGTCATCTCTTTGGTTCCTGTTGTTTCGTTTCGTATCCACTTTGATATCCGTTCTCTTCCTGTGTGGTGGCACTAATCTTATTAAATATATATATATATCCTATTTACACCACCATATCTGTAAGGTACAGCTGATCAATGTGTTAACAAAACGTCAAGATTACAACATAATAGTGTAAGACTTTTATCAGTTGTTTAATCAGATTCCTCAAAGTAAAAAAACTGCTTCATTATTAATTAAAGAATGCTCATTCCAAAAAGTGGAAGACTGGTATCCATATATAAAGTCTATGGTTTTGGCTGGTGTGAAGACGGATAAACAATTAAAACAATTCGCAGTACAGGCCAATTTAGCAATCTCTGCCATTCTTGGGCGTTGCGAACACACGTCATTTCACCTTATAGAGGAAAGGTTGACAATTCATCGTCCGCATCGAGACGGTCAAGGAGTGAAATGCAAGTCGACATCAAACAGAGGATCAACTCACGAGGACGACATCAAACAGAGGATCAACTCACGAGGACCACATCAAACAGAGG